AAACTACAAAATAAACTCAATAGTTATAAATATTATATAATCAATATTATTCCTTTTGTTTTAAAATGAGTATGGTTTTAGAAAAAAAAATTATTTTAAAATGAATTAGTAAAGGACTCGTGCGTTCGTGCGGCGGAAAATCGGTATAAATATTTAATAAATATTATATAATTATGGTTAAAAAATTTATATAAAAATATATACGAAATAAGAGGAAAAAAATTTTAATGATGATTTTCATATAAATATTAATTTAAGCTATCAAGTTGTAATAGTTTTTGGGATATACATAGATTTAATAATTGTTATAAAACCAAATATATGATGTAAAAACAAGTCTGACCCGTCGGACATGCCTATAATTGTTTAGAATTGTTTATAATTTTAATTTTACAATTTCTATTAAAAAACATTATAAAATAAAACATATTATACACCAAAATATCATATTACTTTAATAACAAATTAAAATTGATAATAATTTGATTAGATTTAATGAATTGAATAATATTATATTTGTTAAATTTGTGTAGTAATTTAGAAATTATATGCTATAGTAATATAGAAGTTATTAAACATATGATATCTAATATCGGTTCAATTTAAGTATATATTTTGTAGGCCCGTCGAAAAAATAGGTTCGGTCCGTCGGAGATGTCAATAATTTTTTAATTCTTCTTTATTATAAATTTAAGGATGATATTAATATTATATGATTTTATCATCTAATAGAAAATAAATTTAAACACATTTAAATTTTAAAATTTAAACATATGATTTTGCAATTCTCTTAAATAATAAATTTAACTTTTTTTTTGTAAAAGGATCAATAAAAAATTAATTATTTATAGTCTTATACTTTTATTATAAAGAAAATTTTGAAATATATTAAAATTAATATAATAATTAAGAAAGTATAATTACCTTTAAGTCTTTGTAAAACCATATTTAAATCGATTTTGTTGGTCAATGAAGTAATTACGATAACAATCTCTTTTATTAAGTTAAAAGTAGATAAGAAATTTTATATAAATTCTTTTTTATATAATTAAGAACAATTTATTATTTTTATATTTTTTAAGAAGTAAATAAAAAATAGATTGAAATTCAAGACAATTATAATGTATTAATCTGAAATTCATTGGAAACATAGATAAATTAAAAGGAGTGATACAAATGTAGAATGAAAAATATGTTTCATCATTTAGTTTAATATATATTTTGATTTTTAATTATAAATAAGACACATTAAATGATAATAATTATTATTAACATGATTTTATCAGTTATAAAAAACATGTACAAAATAATTAATGTATTATTATAAATTTAAAATTTAATACTACTTTTTTTTTTGTATTTTGATCCTATCTCATTTTCTTACATTTGAAATTTACATAAATTGCATAACAATCATAAACTTTATTCCAATCATTAATGTATAATATAAATGGTACAAAACAATAAAATAAAATTTCAATAATATCAACAACAACCAATTAAATAAAAAATTGTTATTAGGGTTACTTAATTATCAAAACAAATTTCATAAAAAAGTTGAACTAGATTACTTAATTAACACTTTACATTTTTAATGAAAATATTATTTAATCATGAATGTACACAATGGTTTTATTTAACACTCTATTACGGCTTTATTGAATTGGAATTGTAAAAACTTTCATTAGTCAAATATTTTTATTGAATACAAAAAAAAAAGAAGCAAAAGTTTAGTTATAATAATTGACGAAATAATTTCAAACGAAAATGACATTTGAAATCCAAAAACCTTAATTAGTCAAATATTTTCATTGAATACAAACAAAGCGAAAATCATACATAATTTAGGTATAGTAATTAATGAAATAATTTCAAACAAAAATAACAGCTCTAATATATAATTTGTTTCTCAAAGCAAGGTGCTTCTAAGAGCTTTCCTACCATAAACAATATAATTCAAATACACTATACATATTTAACTAAAACTTTTCACATTAGAGTTTAAAAGAAAAAAGCTTCTCTGATAATCACATCAATATATAACTCTGCAACAATACTATAAATCTTTGATTCCATCCCAATAATATAAATATTAAACTCATACCAACAGGAGTGATAACACAAAAACATAATAAAATAAAATTGTAAGCAACAAAGACAGACCAATTTATTTAGAAACCACTAAAATTTAAATTATTCTAGTTGTGCATTATGCTCATAACATACTTGAGATATCAAACAGATTAATAATAAATAATTCGAAGTGATCATAAGAAGAAGAAAAAAATGAAAATACTCATATTGCCAACACAAATCGATCAAGCATCCACGTCCTCCTTTTCAACTTGAGACGCAAAAGACCAAAATGCAGAAGATCCAGAAGGATCTAAATAATCAAAAAAAAATTTAAAAAAACTTTTAAAAACAATGATTTAGCATGTGTGAAATTTTGATCTTTTATATAGAACCAATTAAAGCTACTATTATTTAACTATATATTCATATGTGAGATGAACCCAAAAATAAAGTCTCCACATCATGGAAATCCCAATAAGTTAATTTCTTCTTTAGTAGACCACAACCTAGTTGTATAGAACATTTTAAAATGATATTCACTATAAGCAGATACAATAAAGATGCATAACAATTTCAACAATGATTTCAATACAATAAAGATTTCGCAAAAAACTGCAAAACAATTTTGAAACAAAAAGATGAAGAAAAATAGAACATAATATAAATTTGCAGCAAAATCAAAAACAGAGAGAATCATACTCATACTCATACTCAGATCAAGAAGTAAAATTCAGAGATAACAAGACAATTGAAATCGTGAATCAAAAGTTGAAAAAATGAAAAACATGAAAAATATAGAGAATAAATCATGTGATAAAGGGTGAGTTCCAAACCTACAAACTAATCAAAACAGTTGAAATCAACTGGAATCTACATATTTGTGAAATTAATTGAAAGTAAAATTTGATTATATTTTTTTATAGTTGTAACATATAGTTATCAACATATATGAAATATTTGTTCATAAGAAAATGAACCCTTCACCGGGAATGTAACCACCAGCAGTAATGAATAATAATTAGAAATCAAATCTAAATATTCCACAAAAACATAGAAATCAAACATAAAAATTCATTTTCATATGCTTTAAAAAATAAAAAAATAAAGAAATGACATTACATTACAACTTCAGAAGGATTCCAAGAAGAAGGAACAATTTGAACACAAAGTGTTTAGATTTTCATGAGTATTTGTTAAGACTCTTCCATCTTTATGTTGATCCATTCCACTTCTTCTTTCTATAAACATTCTAAGGAATTGAACTCTTCCTATTGAATAGTTATGACATCTTACACCAAAATCCAAATAAATAAATTAGTTACAATCAATTCATAAATTTGATGTCAATATTCTTAGATGAATAAATCTAGATCTAATATAAAATAATTATAAAATAAAAATATATGTTAACTGTTTGATTAAATGACTCAATTAACTTACTTCCGTAAAAGTGAGGATATTTGAAACTCACTTACGCAAATAGCTATACTAAATAATGAAATCTCAAATAACTTTACTATACATTGAAATAGATTAGGAAAGTTGAAAATTTTATACCGAACAAAAATCTATTACAAATTAAAATACAATATTATCTAATTAGACTCTGGTAAGAGAAAGATAACTCACATTTTCATTATCTAATTGCCTAAGAAGCTTAATATCACGCAGAGTACGCTTCACATTCATGCTATTATCAAAAGCATTTGATATATTCTTAACAACAACCAATTCATCTGTCTTCGTATTCAACCACAAACTTTAAAAATCAAATCCAAATAACACTTTAGATTTATCAATCACAAAAACTGATTCAGAAAAAGAAACAAAAAAAACTTATCCAAATCCAAAAAAAAAAAGATTTGAAGCAATACCAAACGATTTCGCAAGAACAACGAGTGGAAAATGAAGAGCGAATTGATAACGGATCTGATGGAAAAAGATTAAACCACTTCTCTCGTCGGGGCACCACGACGCTTCATCTATTTCACGCACACTCAGACCCGACTAACTTTCACCGCTGATCAACTCCTTCGACTATCCGTTAACCACATCGATTGATTCTGGTTTTTTTCTATATTGTTGAGAAATTTGTGGATCTATGTTGTTTTTTATTTGATTTTGTTGTTGTGAAAGAAAAATGAAAGGTGATCTTCCATGTGTTTTCAAAGAGGAAGAGGAGAAATTGTAGGGAAAAAAAAACAATTCTAAAGCTATATGATTTGATTTGATTTTGAAGTTGGAAATAAATAAATTGGCAAATGAAAGACGGAATGAAATGAATAAGAAGTCCAAAGGTTAATAGTGTGTTTTCAATGCAAGTTTGTTGTTTGAGTTGTGAGAATATGAGGATTTCAGATGTTGGATATTGAATAGATATATTAGAATTTGAAAAGAGAAACGTGAAGAAGTAAGATGTAGTTAAACAAATGATTACAAAGCAGTAAATATAAAATTTAAATTAAAAGAATCATTAGGGATTATATATATTTTTGTCTTTAAAAATCTATGTTAAAATAGATTTTAGTTAATTAATGACATAATTATGGTGGTAATTATTTTTATTATAATAAAAGTAGATGTCATTATCACTTTTCAATTAATAATAATTGATATTTTTTTAATTGTGTCTTTTAATTATTAGTCTGTAATACACTATTAATCTGCATGCAAAAACTTTAAATTAAACTCATTTTAATTTTGAAACGGATGGATGGAGTACTATGTAATGAAACAAGGTTTGAACAGCTTCCAATGCAAAGTGATAGTATAGCAAGAAGTAGACCCTGAATGACCTGTGAAATTTGATTTCGTGAAGATATAAAAAAGACAAATTAGGAAAAACACAGTACATATGTATTTGTCATCATGCAGATAATTGATTTTGACATGACCATGTCACCCTAGGTAAAATCCTACAGTCCCTAAAACCACCAACAATGATACTTGTTCACTTTTTCACTCTTCCATTGAACCACACGCTTCCATCTTTCACACATCTCTGTCTGCAAAATCAAAACATGTGCCAAACATTATGGGACCATTTCTTTACACATGAACAAGATAGAACTTGCTGCATAGTTTAATCAACATTTATTGACTTAATAACCAAAATCAAACCATAATAAACTTCACATACAATGTGTTACAAGCATTAATAAAAAAAGTTAAAAACGATTTACCCAAACAGAAGACTTGGGTACATGAAATGGATTATCAAAGCTACCATAATGTTTTATCTTCTTCCTGGTCTTCTTCACATTCTTGTCACTACCTATAATGTCACCAACAATAACATTATCTTTATCCTTATCAACAGAAGATGACAAAGAGACATGTTTTTTAACCTTAATGTCCTTTTTCCTCCAATTACCAAACAACACTTTTTTCTTTACCCCCATTTCTTTCTCAAGAATCAAACTCCCTAGTTTTTCACAACAATCACTACAATCTTTTTTGTAGGGTCCATCAAAGACTATTGTAGGTGATGGAACTTTTGTATCAACCAACAACAACCTAGGAGGAAGTTCCAAACACTTGAAAGTTGTTGGATTTGAGAATGTAACAAGATCAGTACAAGGTTTTGGTTTTCCTGGCTCTTCTTCCCAACCAAACGGAACTGATACTGTGATATGAAATGGTGGTGTTTTTGTTCCTGATCTCTCTGGTGAATGCATGATTGGTAGAGTTCTCAATAGGGGTAACTTTGGTATTTTCACGCTACTCTCTTCATTGCAACAATCCATTACTTGTCTCTTTGTATTATTCTCTAGTTTTTTTGCTTTTGGATATGTTTTTGATTTGGTTTCATATAGGGAAAAAAGACAAGGTGGCAATGGAGAAAGATTAGGAGAAGCTCCTATGGCAGAAAATGTTGGTCCTTTCGGTCATGTTTGCCTTTTTCTTGATTGAAGCTAAAGAACAAAAGTTCTAGTTAAGCTGCTTATTTTTTTGTGCTAGGTGTAATTTTGTTGAAAAATGTACTGTGTGGTGTACACCTATGTATTCAAAAAACATGAAGTCCAAGAAAAAATATTGTCAGAAATTTGTCGAAACCATTTCTCTAAGCCAATGTTTAGATTTTCACAATGAGTTTTCAAAGCAACTATAATAAGTTAATCACTCCGTGCATAATACAAAGCTTATTCATAAGTAAAATGTTTCATTAATTTTTAATACAAGATTATTTTTTATCATTTATTTTAATTGTAGTATTAATACTATTTTTATCATCCAATTCAATATTTTCAAATTTATATTTATGGTAAAGATAAATGCATGGTAAATGTGTTTTAACAAAAGCACTATTTATCTTTGATGTATTAAGGTCGTTTTACTTAATAATCAAACGATTCAGTTCAATTTTCAAATAGTCGTCGTCACTTTGCTCTAACATCTGATCTTCACCTTCGACTAATGACCATTTCACTCTCAAGTTTTGATCATTCTCCATCATCTTTGTTCTACATCAACTCGTCCACCCTCAACTTAGTTCTCCCTCAAGCTCATTTCATATTTTTCTTGGATCCTTCATCCACATTGCATATTATTTTTGCACTGGAACTGAATTAGGTGATATTCGTGATTCCCCCTTCTTTATATTAGATAAAAGATATGAATTAGATAATCTTCATGTTTGTCTTTTTTTTTTTTATATGAGATAAAAGTCTTAAATTTTGATTGTTGACTAAGTGATTCCAAATACAAGAAGAGGAAATTGTGTTGGTTGAAAAACGTTGTTCAATTATAAAAATTTGGTTTATAAAAATTCTTAAAATTATTATTTTTTTAAAAGAGTTTGAGCAGTGAAATAGAACAAAGAAAGAAAGAAGAGATGAAAAGAACGAAATAAAATGTAAAAAAAATATAACAATGAAAAATAAAGAGATAAGGGAAAGAAAGTATTCACCATAGAATTACACAAGTTCGTCCTAATCACTTGGCTTACTCATGTCTCCAAGAGTTTTCTCTTGAGAGCTTCACTAAAGATGCGAGTTATTCAAAAGTTATGCCCACAAACCTTTTTTCAATAAAATAGAGATTATAACGACTAATACCACGAACTAAACTAGAGATTATAGAAGGCTAATCTCCAAGCCGAATAAGAGACTTTAACAGGCTAATCTCCAAAATAAATAGAGCTTTTTAGCACGTTGAGCTCACAAACTAAATATCAATTTTAACTGACTGATCTCAAGAATCAAACAGAGATTTTGATTGATTAATCTCAAGAAGCAAACAAAAAATTACTTTATTGATATTATAAAAAGAGATAATACCTTATTTAGTAATGTACATTCTAAAAAATACAATGAGATATCCATGTGTTTATAGGATTTTTTACGTGTTTAGGATATTTGGCCAACACGTAGAGCTTTCTTACCAAGAGTAATGAGAAGCTTTGTATATGTATTTTAGTGAGAGAATTTGACATCTGTCTTCAATCTTAAGACTGAGTTATTTATAAAGTTATCTCTGGGCCTGGGTTAAGGAGTGGTGACCCGCTCCCTTACTAGATACACGGGGAGGAAGAAGTTTGTGGTTCCTTAAATCATGGAGGAAGTGGTTGTCCTCCCTAACTTCCTCTTTGAATCCACTTTACTGGGATGCGTCATTTCCCATGTTTACGAAGAAGTGTGTAATGGGTCAGGTTCTGATGGAAGAAACTCAGCTAGTGTCCTAGTTAGAATATTTGTGCGACCTTAATGCCCAACGAGCGACCTAAGACTTCATGGGGAATCTCCCCCCCTCCAGTCAGTTGACCTTTAATATATCTATGATGAACTATCCTCTCCAAGGTCCCAATAAAATTATAATAGTATACAGTCCCTCAAGCATGAGGACTCGAAGCGAGCGAAGGAGTTAATCTAGGCATAAGGAAATTTATTCGTGGGCAAGACTCTAAGTTGAGTCCCTCAGTTAAAAATTTAAGTTAAGTCCCTCTTGTGAGAATTTAAGTTAATTCCATCAGACAAGACTTTAAGTTAAGTCCCTCAGGCCAGACCATGAGTTGAGTCCCTCGGGCGAGACCATGAGTTAAGTCCCTCGGGCGAGACCATGAGTTGAGTTCCTTAAGCGAGAATTTATGTTGAGTCCCTTAGACATGAATTTAAATTGTCCCCTTCCGGAGAGAGTTAGAGTTGAGTCCCTCGGGAAATACTTTATGTTGAGTCCCTTAGGAGAGACTTTAAGTTGATTCCCTTAGGAGAGACTTTAAGTTGAGTCCCTCATGCAAGACTTTGAGTTGAGTCCCTCAAGCGAGACTTTATGTTGATCCCCTCAGTTGACAATTTAAATTGAGTCTTTTGAGAGAAGCTTTGAGTTGAGTCCCTTGCAGAAGCGGTAAAGCGGCAAACAAAAGTAAGTAAGTATTTAGTTGTATCATATCGTCCCCACAAGGATTATTGCTACTGAATTATCGTTCGACATGTCTCGTATTTATGAGTTTGGTTAGTTTAAAGGGTAAATGCGGGAATTAAAACTATTAACAGAAAAAGAATTCATTCTTCGGAGAGTACACAAATATCGGGTTTGCATTTCATCTTCCATATCAAATACTTACATATATCACTCAGTTGTACTCAACCTAAATCACTCATCAATGTTATCATGTATCTCTCACACATAGGTTATCTCTAACACAGAGTGAGACAACGACCATATTACTTGCGTCATCGATCTCTCTGTGCAACACAAACAGCACTGGGGCATTAAGCTCTGATACCCATATGAATATTAAGCCAAAATTTATCTCTAGAATCTAGAACCTAATAGATGTTCATCCTAAATCCAGATTTGTCCTGTTCATCTCTGCAATAACTCAAACCCAAATAAAAAAAGAAATCATCAATATTGATTTGTAAAATGAGTTTCATACAACACCATGAACAATAAATATACATATAATTAAGGTAAATTTACATATAAACTCCCACAAATAGAGATTACAAAGAGAAGAGAAGAAGAGGAACCAAACATCTTTCAGTTTCTCAACACCAATCGAAGAGAAATTCGACTACAGATCATCCAGATGCAAGCTCTATTGTTGTTTTATAAGATCTAAACTATCAAAGAATGAAGGTGATGAATTGGGAACAAATACCCCAAAACATAACCCTAAAAATTTGTTCTAAATCTATTTATACTAAATTGAAAAATGCAGACCGCGCTATCACTTATTGCACTAAACTGCCTTAGAGCGTGTTAAGCGTGCTCACCTCTGCATGGCCACTTAACACGCACGCTATGACCGCGCTAAGCCCGACCTGGAACAAGTTATTTTCTTCCAAAATTTGCATCTTGAAGCTTTATCGGTCTTTATTGTTCCACGCTTCAACAATGCAATAAATCCTACAAAAATGGGATAAAAACTTTTAATTAATAAAATATTTATACGAATAAACTATAAAATGATTATGTACACAAAAGTCGAGGTTTCGTTATAAAAATAAATAGATCAAAGTCAATAAGTTCAACAATTTACAACACAAAATAATGATATTTTTCCACTTATCAACTTTCCCCAACTTGAAACATTGTTTGTCCTCAAACAAAGTCAAACAACCTAAAGAACAAAGAAGCAATATCAAAGAATCACGAATCAACAGGTTTTTAAAACGAAAAACAAATGTATGGTTCAAACAAAAATGTACAAGCAAAGTAAACTTACTGAAGCTACCGGAAAAAAACACAGAGCCGCCATCGAACTTTATTTATCCCTAAGGAAGGGGAAATATCGAGAAAACCATAAGAGGATGAATAAGATGCTCTTGCAACCAAGATAAAGGGTAAGGAAGTCAGTTATGCAAGGGAAAATTATTAGCACCCCTCACATCCGTTGTACTCAATGTGATCCATTTTGTTTGTTTGCTTCTAAGGGTGTGTTTATCTATAACTATACTTGCTTAAGGGGAAAGAAAAATGGTTTTTTATTATTGCATTCGTGAGGGTCTCAAAACCCTTTGCCTACGTATCCAGTGAACGAATCAGAACATCGTAGTTCCTCTAAAAAATGTTGGTTTGTTGGTGTTTTTTAGTGGGCGACATTAACACACGCATTCTAGCAATAGGCATGACCCGTATCACGGTAGAACGGAGATAACATGCCCTTTGGAGGAAGTTTTGATTGGTTGAGTATTTTGTGAGTTTTAGAATGAATTTGAGTAATGTTTAAATGTTTTTGGATTTTTGATTTGTGAATGATAAGTTTTAAAAGAAAAGTCAAAGGGGAAAGTCTACTCTAATGTTATCATGCATGGGTTCCAACCTAAGGTCTAATTAGTTTGCATCTTAAAGAAGAGGAAACTATCATCCTAAGGGAGTATGCTATAAACATAAAGTAAAAAGGGGCGGTGTTTGTGAAGAGTGATCAGGTATGGTGATCATGGAAAAAATGACGACAAAATGAGTAATATTATGAAAGGTGTAAATGGAATGCTTGATGTATGGGAATTAAATTGGGTTATGATTAACCAAGGGGTGCACTTGATTAATCGCGTGAGAATAGGTGCTCCTACCCTCAACCATGAGACCCTTTATGCATGGAAACACTTGGTGTATGGACCAAAGCAGTTGATTCAGGTTATGGTTAACCAAGGGCAAGACTTGATTAACCTCGTGAGAATGGCCATGCCCAAACTCAACTATGAGACCCTTTAAGAAGATGATTTATATGTAAACTAAGGGGAGAGAAGTTGGTTCAATGCACAAGATGAAAATCAAAAGCCCATATAAGGTTTTCATGTGC